GTGTGTGTGAGAGTGTGTGTGTGAGAGTGTGTGTGTGTGTGTGAGTGCGTGTGAGAGTGTGTGTGTGCGTGTGTGAGTGCGTGTGTGAGTGCGTGTGTGTGAGTGAGTGCGAGTGTGTGTGCGTGTGTGTGTGTGTGAGAGTGTGTGTGTGTGTGTGAGAGTGTGAGTGTCTGTGAGAGTGTGAGTGCGTGTGTGTGAGTGTGAGTGCGTGTGTGTGAGCGTGTGTGTGAGAGTGTGTGTGTGAGAGAGAGTGTGTGTGTGAGAGTGTGAGTGCGTGTGTGTGAGCGATTGTGAGTGTGTGTGAGAGTGTGTGTGTCTGTGAGTGAGTGTGTGTGTGTGTGTGAGAGTGTGTGTGAGTGCGTGTGTGAGTGCGAGTGTGTGTGCGTGTGAGTGTGTGTGTGTGTGAGTGTGTGTGTGAGAGAGAGTGTGTGTGTGTGTGAGAGTGTGAGTGCGTGTGTGTGAGTGCGTGAGAGTGTGTGTGTGTGTGTGAGAGAGAGTGTGTGTGTGTGTGAGAGTGTGAGTGCGTGTGTGTGAGTGCGTGAGAGTGTGTGTGTGTGTGTGAGAGAGAGTGTGTGTGTGTGTGAGAGTGTGAGTGCGTGTGTGTGAGTGCGTGAGAGTGTGTGTGTGTGTGTGAGAGAGAGTGTGTGTGTGTGTGAGAGTGTGAGTGCGTGTGTGTGAGTGCGTGAGAGTGTGTGTGTGTGTGTGAGAGAGAGTGTGTGTGTGTGTGAGAGTGTGTGTGAGTGCGTGTGTGAGTGCGAGTGTGTGTGCGTGTGAGTGTGTGTGTGTGTGTGTGTGTGTGTGTGTGTCACTCACACACTCCAAAAAGAATGGCTATAGTAAAAGTCAGAGCAGTAAAAGCGGTGGTTTACCGTAGATTTGGACACATTGCCTCTCTGAGTGATGTTCTTGCTGTGTTTCTCATTCGCCATGCGAATCCTCTGCTTAGCCACCATCTTTTGCTGTTGTTTTATTAAAGAAAAAGAAGAAAAGTCGGAGCGAAAGAGATCAAGGAGGTGTGTGATCTCGGACTGATGTAGTGGTTTAGTCTACGTGTGCATTAGAGAAACTCACTCCGCCCTTTGAGACGTGGACGCTTCGGAACGAAATAAAAACGATTTGCGTCAAAAGACATTAGCGATGGGCGGGGATTGAGCCGTTGGCGGATCTAAATCATATTTATTTTATTTATTATTTATTTTATTTTATTATTTCAATGTATTGTTTTCTTGTCAGTGACTGTTAACGGTAATAAGTGTCATTATTTACAAATAAATGATTGTCCAGGACGCGTTAAACGCAGAGTTGTGGTCACGTGGTACGTGTTACTTTAATCAGCGCTGGCGACGCTGGACCAATCACTGCTGTTTACGATTACTAGAAAAAATATATATTTTTAGTTATTCTGTAAAGGTTGCTGGGGCGAATGTTTATTTGTGTGTGTGTTAGGTGGCAAGCCTTTAAAAGAATATATTTTTTCCCCCTCATACAAATGTCATAAAAACAGCTCAATTCAGGATAAACGTCATTCCTTTTCGCCGCAATTAATCACAGTATTAGTCAATATATCTATTTGATTGTTGAGAAAAACATGTCAGCAAAATTAATCATGCGTCATTTTTTGACGTTGACCAAAACTTAAAATGATTAAAAATAGTCAAATAAAAAATTATTCGTTTTTATTATGATATCACTCACCAAATCAAATCTAGTCCATAAATCTGTAATACGATTTGTTATTGATACAGAAAATCGAAAGGAACCTGTATTACTTATAAAACTTTAGTTTATACCAAAGTCCTTTTAAGGGTATTCTATAGTCTTTGGTTTATACATTATGTTTGACATTCTACGCGCAACCGAAACGATCTATAGTTTTTTTTTTAAATTGAGAACATTATATAGACAAAGATAAAAGCAGTCACAATGTAGAACAAATAAACAAGAAAATAAAATACGAAACGATCTATAGTGACGTCTGCTCGGAATCGTCAGTGACGTGACACGTTGTCGTACTTCTGTTTCAAAATGGCGGCCCCCACACCTCATTTAGCAGGTGAGTTGATGCTCTAAAATGTGTATTTCACGCTCATTTCACCAAGTATTTTCAGAAGCGAAAATATAAACAATCACCGTGGGATTGGAGAGCGTGTTATGAAATAACGCACAAGTGATTTATTCTAAAGTTCTGCAGTCACATTGCCTCTTGAACTCATTCATAAGCCTGTCATGTGCGCAAAAAAATATTTTGTATCGTAATTTCAAGAAATCAAGAGTATTGGTCTAAAGCGTGCCATCGTATGCACACATATGCAAATGTGAAATATTAAACGTTCTCGATAATATTCAGCTAATAAATGTATTTATTTTTAATTTTTTAATAAATGTATTTTTAAATCCCTAGCAGCTGTAATATAGTTTTCAAGCTACGTCCATCAAACTCAGCAAATCCTTAGTAGACTTATTATTTCCCATAGCTGACAATTACAGATCCCTCATAGACTCTATCCATACAGTACAACCTTCAGATCTCTTTTCAAACTGCCTGAGTATTAAATCTAACGTTACATGAGATATAAATCCAGCATTCAGTCTTTGTCTTTCTTTTTCTGGTTTTAACCTGCTATGTTTCTTTTCAATCAGTCAGAGGATCAGATGGCACGTTTCTGCTGCGTGGACCTCCGAGCTGTCAAGAAAGCTCTGCCTTTCAGAAGTGAGTGATTGCATTTGCAAAGTGTTTACCCTAAAGCCTTGTTGTTGTTTTTTTTAACAGCATCTGTTTAATGTGTTTCAGAGATGAACGGCAAGGCAGATACATAGCGTTCAGCAGCGACGGGTCCTTGTTTGGTTGGTGCAACGGCTCACAGTACGTATTCAGCATTGTATAGTTAGCAATTCCTGTCATTTTCTAGACACTCAAAGCACTTTAAATTGTGAGAGGGGGGTCTCCTCGTCCAGAATGCCCACCACACACCTGGGGCAAGTTCAAGCTCAAACCGGTGTGCACCGTTTTGCTGCGGTTTCCGGTTTGAACGACATGTTTCCTGAAAACGGTGTGCAAAAAAAACACACTCTCACTCACACACTCCAAAACACACACTCTCACTCACACACTCCAACACACACACTCT